GGCAAAATTTTATGCTAGAAATTTCTCTCTAGTTGGCCTTTCTAAAATTGTCTTGCTTCCTAAAATTTAAGCCCTCATCAACAAAATGTTCTTGCTGCTACCAGTTTTCTTCTAAAAAAAAACATGCAAATAAACAAAATAATATGTAATCATGCCTGTCCTATGCTCATACATCTTCAACTGCTTGAAGTCTAAACTACCTAGTATTATAACCAAGTTTGCTTTCAATGTGGTTGCAGCTTGCCTTTCCCATTTCCCCAGCTCTGGCCATGTTAAACCAATTGCTGTTCCTCAAACCATCAATGCATTTTGTTCCTGTCTCTATGCCTTTATTCAAAGTGTACCTTTTGCCTTGGATGTCCTTTTTCTTCCATTTCATTAAACTTCTTCCCAGTGATTTCTTATTTTCCTGTATAGCTAAAGTATATTCCTTATCACTGCCTTTCTCCCCTTGCCTAAATTTTTGAGGGAAGGAATAATATCTTATTCAGTTCTGCTTCTCCAAAATGCTTAGCAGAGTGTTTGGCACATAGTTGGTACTCAATAAATATTTGCTAAATGAATGAATAGACGAGTAAATGGATGAAAAGATGAAAGCATGAGCTTCTTGGCTGGCTGGAAAGATGGATGAATAGATACATGGATGAATAAATGCTGTGAAGAGCTATGCCATAAATAGTAATTCAGCAGTGAAATCACTTTGTTGCATTCAGGACATGAGATCCAGAGAGCGCAATGCTGAGATGCTCTTGAACATGGGGAATGATGAGACAGTTGGCATCAGGGCTGTCTTCAACAGTGGAAACTGCAAGGATGTTCATAGCGTCCATAACAACATCAAAACATGGCCATGGGCTCCTTGAGCCATCTTCTCAACTAGATAATTCATAGAGGTTGTCAAAACCTGTAGATATGTTAAGTTTTTATTCTCAGATGCAGAATTCAGTCTCCTAGTTGGAAAGAGACTTCTGAAATATGCTAGACGAATCTGTGAAGGACATGCTGAACACTTCAGGTTCTCACATGGTCTAGGACCCCATGTTCCTTCTCTTCTTCCAGGGTTTGGCTGCTACCTGAAATTTCTGAAAGGCCTACTATCTTCCATGGTCCAGGAGATGGAAGGAATCAATAGGGGCCAACACCATTTACTAAAAGCTGAGAACTCATGAGTTGCAAAACACAGAAATAAATCATGTTTGAAGAAGAATAGGAGGGAAAGTGGGAAGGAGGAAAGGGTCAGGGGAGAAGAAGGCAGGAAGGGCATTTCTTTCTCATTCTATCTTGGAAACAAGGAGTGTACCCTTGGAAAGTGCAGAGAAAAATGAGAGATGGCTTTACATTTATCCTAACTATGGACTGTGAGAAAGCCACAGCAAATTCCTTGGAGGGAAGGTCCTTATTTGGACACTTTTTGTAAGCGTTTTCTGAAATGAAAAGTAGTCAAGGGATTTAAATTCTTTAAGCAATTAACAATATATGGTTTTTAAATGCAGCCCGGAATGTGTCTACAAAGAAAGGCTTATCTTTGTTGTGGATGAGCAGCTGAGAGCCTGAAGGTAGCCTTTAAGGAAAGCATTCTGAGACTCCAGCCACCCTCAAGATCCTTTCAGAAACAACAACTACTAGAAAAAAAGCAAATAACAGGTAGGTAAGCCTGGAAGCCTGAAAGAATTAAAGCTGTATCTATTAAGTACCTTTGAGCTGAAGAGATTCCATCACCAAACAGTGAATGAAACATGACAGAGAAAGCCAGATTAGAGATCTTGAGGCCTGAAGACCAAGCAACCGTCAGCTGAAGAATGCCAGCTTCTTTATACAGAGACAGCCCTTCTGCCCTCTACTCCCTCAATAATCTGTCTAGTCTACTTTTAGACAGATATCTTAAGTAGGTACGAATGGAGGTAGATACAATTATGATATATGAAAGCACTCAAATCTCACTATACTTCTGGGAACAGGGGACAGACAATCTAAGAAAAAGCTGAAAAACAAAAGTGTGGCTTTTTACATAGAAACACAAAATGTTAGCACCAGAAAGGTCCTTAGTGAAACTCACAATTCCAGTTCTATGATGGGAAAACAAAGCATCAGAGAAGAGAAGGGACTTGCTCAAGGCCACATTCCTAGTTGCCATTTTGGAATATACCATTTAATTTTGATTTGAGTGATGGGAATCAGAAGATAAAACTATATGAATTCTTCTTCTAGGTAATCAATATGTCTATGCTAAATCCAAATCTCATGAAAATGGAAGTCTACTCCTTAAGGAATAGACAGGGCCACTTTCTATTGACACTTTCTTTTCCATTGTTTGAGTAAAGGTGTGCTATGCACTGGATGCGTAAGTTAACAAAAAACTTGAGAGGGTGTTGTGGCAGTAGGGTAGGGAATGTGGAGATAAGTTCATTCAGCAAAATGGAAAGATTTGTTCTTCAAGCAGTGATTTAAGAAGGTAAACAATTGGGTTTTTACTGGTATGATATTTGAACGTAGCATATGATTCACTCAATTACTAAAATTAGCTTCTGAATAGGTTTCTGGTGGTGCTTTTGGTTTCAGGTAATCAAGAGTGTTTTCTTGCAATTCTCTGGTGTTACATATTATATGGCATACCAAGTTACTTAGGGTAAAAGCCATTGGGAAGTGCTGTGTTACAACCTTTCCAGCTAAATTACTAGTGACCTCAATGTCATATTAAGCCCCCACATTTGTCTAGCACTTTGCTATTTATAAAGGATGTTCACATTTATCATGTCATCTGATCGTCATTATAACTCTGTGAGGATGGTATCTCTAAATCACACATGAAGAAATTGAGGCCCAGAGGGGCACACAGTAAGTAAAGGAGCTGAACCTTTAAACTAGATCTGCCTGACTCTAAAGGCAAGGCCATTTACACAATATCAAGAATCCTTGTATTTTGGAAACATTTCCTGATGGTTGCTAGCTTGAAGCTCTAATTCCTAGCATGGTGCCTTGTACACGGAAGACACTGAGTAAAATATCATGGGCATGGAACTGAAATGAAGGCCAGTCACCGCACTTCTCAGTTTGTCTTCACTGCGTTCACCAAGCCCACTCAAATTTGAGTACTTCACCAATAAATCAATTTGAAAATGTACTGAACCATTCTCACCAATAAATTAATTTACAAACCTGCATCTGACTGCTATATAGTATAGTGAAATTGTCTGTTATACACAGGCTCCTTTTCAGAAGCGGTTCACTGTAATTACGTTACAGCCTGCTTTATAATGGAGAATGTTGGCTGAGACATGGAATTAATGTTAAGATTTGCATCCACATGTTATGAGGACTTTTGTTACCATTAGGCTTTAGCTGCATCAAAGTGGACTTGCAATTCATATTGCCAGATGGCAAGCCAAGAGGTTCCCTATCTGAGAGTCCCCATCTCTTATACTATACATAATTCGCAGAAGGCTACATAATTGACGGTTGAATGCATAAGAACCCTCAACATGGGGCTGAAACATTCATATGGAGAACATTTCCTCTTGTCAATCACTTTGTCACCCTTCCTGCCTTTCCCTCTGTACTCCCTGACCCCAGTCCTACTTCTTCTCCACTGTAGACCTCAATTGTTGGATTTCTTTGGAGTACACCAAGCAAAACAAAACAAGGTTGAGCTTTCTCAGATATCTGAGTCTCATTTGATGTGGATGCCTGGAAAGCCACTCACAGAACATCTACCTGTGATGTTTGGGAGTACTAGATGCTGCTTGAGATGCTTCTTTTGAAATTGTTGCTCATCTAGCCTGGGTAAATACATTTGAGGTACTCTGTTCTGTTTAAATAATACTACTGCCCTGTGAGGATGGGGAGTATATAGTTTTCTACATGAAGATCCACAAATGGCCCTGCTCCAGGATAAGAGAATTAGCTGTTGTCTATAAATGTGCACATAGGCAAACATGGTATTGAACACCTCACAGAAAGCCAGATATAGACAACTGGGCTAAATTAGCCTTAAGAGGAGAGAGGAGAGAGTTGGATTCTGGGCACTTGGGTTTTCCAGGCTAATAATGAATAATCAGGGTTGGGGCTACAGTTGCGGGCACTCAGAAACAAGCTTGCCTTTTTTCAAATTCCATTTCCAAATTGGAGTAGATTAATGATCTTGTTATTCTCATGAAATATGCATCTTTTTGGAAGCAGCAGGCAGCAGCGAGGACCCTGGCATTGGGCAGATGTAAACATGAAGAGATGGGGAATTTTGAGAGAGAAAATGTAAGTGTCAATCAACTGATGTTAAGCCTTTCTGGAACTGTGACAATGCTCATGGTAGACAGGCTCAGGGGATAGTGTTATGATAGAGGAATGCCCTTGAAAGAGCTGTATCTTCCTTCTATCATGTTACTGTGCCACTGAAAAAAATGCTTTTGGAAATGATCAATAGATTTGCAAAGAAAAGAAAATGATTAAAACATCTGTTCATCTTTGGGAGATATAGGATAGGAAATTGGCTCTGTTTGGTAGCCTAGTCTCAGGCTCCAAAGAGAAGCAGCTTCTCATTCCAGGTAGCTGGCCCTACAACATAGGCAACAGTTAGCTGAAGGATATTCCCAGGTGTTTAGGGTCAGCCTGTGTCTGGCTTATCCTGCACCTGTAACTGTTCTGGATTTCTTAATTCTCTTATCCTAGCTACCATCGAACAACATCAGGCCAGTACCATTAAGTTCCCTGGGGACCCTGCCCAGTCACATGCATCCTCACTCACCCTCTGTTGGCTCCTGATCCCTGCTTCACACCTCCTGTTCTAATGCTGATCCCCAGAATGGTGAGTGGCATAGTTAAGGATAAAAAAAGGCACCAGCTGGCTGATGGCCACGTTGGCTATGAAAGGGTCAGCCTGTATCTAGAGCATGGCCAGTTCCCTTGGAAGCATCAAAGAAGAAAATCTCGTTTAAAAAGAGGCTAGAAAACGAGGGAGGAAAGGGGGAAAGAGGACAGAGGAAGAGGAGGAAAAGAAAGTATCTTACCTCCCAGAGTCATCCCTGCTTCATAACATTTTCGAAGACGACAAGATGGACAATTTTTCCTTCGGAATTTATCAATGGTGCAATCATTTCTGCTGGCGCACAGGTACTTCTGTTTCCCTGGGAGAAGAAATACAAGGGTGCACAGACCTCTTAATGAGTTTCCAGAGTCTCTTTCTTTGGGTATTTCTAGAACAGAACATATATGGAGTTATATCCTACCACATAAAAATGTGGACAGAGTATGGCCCCAAACAATTTGATCATAAAGAATCTAACTATTAAAACAGTTCGTTTGGCACTACATTTTTGGATTTTCATAGCGTTTTTTTTTTTCGGGGATGAACAATTCAGATCCTGATGATATCTCCATTATTAGGAGTACTCACTGGTTTTTAAAATAAGATGCTCTACTTTTAGCAAAAGCCAGAAATGCCCATGAGAAAATGATCCATTGTGGAACTTGTCACCCCTTTAGCATGGCATAGAAGAGATCTGAACTCAGTCAATGTTTCTTCCTATTGACACCTGTAATCATGCATAGAGTTCCACTCATGCTAATAAGAGGCTTATTTTTCATAATGGTATAGGAAAACTTCTATAAAAGATAACTCCATGGGATTTTTAACTGTTTTCAGATTGCTAGTGATCATACCCCCAGTCTTGCAGGTTATAAAAATCAGAGATAAAGCCCACTCTGTGTAGTGAATCACAGCAAGTAAAAGGAAATTCTATGAAGTCAACAGAGTAACAAAGATCACGGTCATGCACACCTGGAGTTGTCACAGATACACAGAATTGTGCACACACACACATACTCAGACCTAGAGATCCTCAGGATTACAGCCTCTCAAAACTCTGAAAGCCTACTCAAAAACATATTTTGCTCAATATTTTGTTCCTTTATCCTAGCACAATCCTGGCACACAGCAGGCTCTCAATAAACGTGGACTGACTGACGAAACATATACGTAGTAGCAGAAAGATGCATAGACACACAAAGTCACCAGCAGGAATAGGCAAAGATACATCCTTGGCTGCTCTGAAATATGCAGAACTTCTCATGCTTACAACCCTGCTCCAGCCTGAGCCTCTGCATCCCCTCACTCCACTTTCTTTCTCTATGTTCCTGGTATTTTTTTTTTTCAAATTTATTGCTGTGCTTTGATTTACTGAATAGACTGGGATTTTAGGGAAGTTTCTTTAGGCAGAGGAAGAATGCTTGTGGAGAAAAGAAACAGAAACTAAAGAGTGATTGAAACTTGAGAGCAGGAAAAAAAAAAAAAAAAAAAAAAAAAAAAAAAAAAAAAAAAAAAACACAACTAAAAACATAAATTTAACTATACATCAGCTTTCGTCTCCCTTTACTAAGCCTAAAACGTGCAGATTAGGTACAGAAATACAGCTATTACAGTAAGCTATTTTATGTAGTCGATTCAGTAGTATCTAGGTCAGCAAAAAACTTCTTTTACTTAAAGTGGTACTTGGAAGAACATAAAATTAGCTTTATTGTAGTAAAGGATTCTTTTTCCTTTCCTCCTTTTTAATGTTTTGTTTCCTTGTTTTTTTCCCTTTAACTTTTCAGTCTTCTTTCCTTCCTTTCTCCCTTTATTAAATGATTCCAAAATCCTGGGCTTGAAGGAATTGTTAAAAATCCCAACAGTACAACTCTCATTCCAAGGAGGAGTTCCAGGGAAGTGACTTACCTGAAGAAGCACACTGAATCAGAGGCTCCCAATGGAAGAAAACTACCATTTATTGGGTGAGTACTATAAACCAGGCTTGTGTTAGAGGTTTTCAACATAGGAGAAAACTAAGGCCTCTAGGCCAGTGCCCTTTCTACCATATCATAGGGTTTTGTTTGCATAAGTAGAACATATAATTTGCTAACAGCTTTTTTCTTTCTGCTGTAAACTGACGACTGAGATATGTGCACAGAAGGGATGGTGCTACAAGTGAAGTTCAGCCTTTGGGTGTTACTTCCTCAAAAACAGGTCCTGTATTCAATTCTAGTGGGTTCAGTTCCAATGCTGTAGCTGTTCTAGAACTGGTACACTCCCACAGTATTGGTACTGCTGCAATCCTCAAGACTAGCTTGATACACTGATTACTGAAATAACCTTAGGTTAGAAAGCATGTGATTTTGTTGAGAAATCTCTTCTTCCCTAGGAAAATGCTAGTTCCGGGGCCCCAGTTTGCCAAGAAATGGTTGCACAACCAATGGAATATGGCTCCCAAAATAGTTTTAGATTGCATTTCTGAAAGAGAATCTCTCTGTGAATGAGAGAGTTTATATTGGAAAAGTGTGGTTTTTTTTTTTTTTTTTTAATTTGGAACTCAGATAATTTCCTTAGCATAGTTCAATTCAAACTTTTTCTGTGGGTTCATCTTGAGCTAAAACATGGCGACCTAAAACATATATATTCTTTACAGTATACTCAGGAGTAAGTGCAAAGCCCAGTACAACCAAAGCCATGACGTATTAATTTAACATTTACCGATAATCTATTATATGCCAGGCCCTGCACTGGGTATTGAGATTACAGAAGAAAATCTCCACTGAACAAAAATATACAAGTCCTAGATGAGAAAAAGAGCAGTGGGCTGGAAGCCCCAGCATCTGAATACTTGTTCAGCCTTATCACCAACTCACTATATGACCTTGGACAAGTCCTTTTGCCTCTCTGGACTCCACGGATTACATGAAATAGATTGGACTGGAAAGTCATTAAAATCTTTTTCAATTCTAAGAATCTTGAAGGACATCTTGATTTCTTCTATAATATATTTGCAGCGTGTTTTTTTTTTTGTTGTTGTTGTTTTTTTGTTTTTTTTTTTTTTTTTTTTTTTTTTTTTTTTTTTTTTTTTTTTTTTTTTTTTTTTAATGCAGGGGATTTAAGTATTACTGGTAAACAAGAAACCATCCAAAATAATAGTCTCTTGTCCATTTATTCGGTCTTTTTAGGACAGTAACTTATTGCAACATTGCCTCTTACATCTAGAATCATGTAGTCTCTTGTCTTTGTTTTCAAAACCTCTCCAAAAACTCAAGGTGGCTAATATCGCCTTAGGCAATAATGTTGCCAATAACATGCAATGTAGGCATAAACATTTCATGTATGTGTGAGTGCACAGGTGTGTAAGTGTGTGTATGTGTGTGTACACACCCACACACTGGATTTTGGAATCATCTGTGCATATGTGGGTGATCACATAAAGCATAAAACACACCAAAACATACAAATAGGTACACATGACATGTGTTCCTTCAAAGCAGAATGATGAATTTAATGTTTGAAATGATGCTTAATAGTTACAGAAGTGATTGAGAATTCCAAAGATGGATATGAAAGGAGTCTTTTTTCTGTAAGTTCTAAAAATAAGACCTTATTCATCTGTACAATTTGATTTAGAGGCAAAGATAGGGAATAGAACAGGTAATCTCTCAAGACTGCTTGCAAGTCACTTCTATCTGAATTATCACTTCCCCAAATAATGGGAGAGCCAAGGTAAAATCATTGGATTGCTATTATTTTTTTCCTATTTATTTAATTTCTCCAAATATATGGATGAGGCTATCAGAGTTGTTAACAGTAATAATAATCACTCTCCTTTGATTAGTTTACAAAGTTCAATAATAATCTGCAGGGCTGGGCACAGTGCCTCACTCCTGTAATCCCAGCACTTTGGGAGGCAAAGGTAGAAAGATCGCTTGAGCACAGGAGTTTGAGACCAGCCTGGGCAACATAGTGAGATTCCGTCTCTACAAAAACAACAAAAAATTAGCTGGGCCTAGTGGTGTGCACCTGCAGTCCCAACTACTTAGGAGGCTGAGGTGCTAGAATCCTTTGTCCCTGGGAGATTGTGGCTGAAGTAAGCTGTGATTGTGGTACTGTACTGCAGCCTGCGTGAGACCCTGTTTCAAAATAATTATAATCATAATAATAATTTGTGCAAAGTAAGTATAAGAGGGATTATCATATACCTTATTCTATGATTAATAAAATGAGGCTCATTAATATGAAATTGGCTAGGACTTCCAGCATTATGTTGAATAGAAGTGGTTAGAGTGTGCATCCTTATCTCATTCATGGTCATTATTTTAGCTGTGGGCTTAACTGATATGACCTTTTTGTGTTGAGTAACATTCCTTCTAATACCCAATTTCTTGAAAGATTTTATCATAAAATGATGTTGAATTTTGTCAAATTATTCTTCTGCATCCATTGAGATAATCATATAGTTTTTGTCTTTCATTCTGTTAACATGGCCAATCACATTTATAGATTTGCATATGTTGAATCATCCTTGCATTCCAGAAACAATCCTAGTCTTTTTGAGGAATTTTGCATTTATGTTTATCAGGGATATTGTTCTGACTGGCATCATATTATTGGTTTGCTGCAAATCACAGTCCATAAGGTTATGGATCCCAGATTGGTTGGAAGGAATTTTAAAGACTCTTTGCTTGTATCACATTCATTCCTCCATACAAGGCTGGAGTTCTCTCTGTAGCATCCCTGCAAACTGTTAGCCCCCATCTTTTCTTAAATGCACCCCATTTTATCTCTGGCCTGTGTTACAAGTCCCTTCCTTCCAGGAAATCCACTGTTTCCTTTTAGCTCTAACACATTGGGCCTAATTACAAACACAGAATCTTTGGGCTGTAAAGAATCTTAAAATGCCCAAGGTGATGCCTGACTCTTCAGTTATGAAAATGGGCACAAAGTATTGAAATGACATACCCTACACCACAGCAATATGGTGTCAGTGTCAGCACAAAATCCGGAAACTGGATCAGAAGGAAATATGGTGTGGGTGATTACAGTCTGAAGACAAAGACTTCTGAGTGTGGCAGAAATCTTTGTTCTTTGTCTAGAAAGCATATGGCCCTGTGGGTGCCTTCTCCGTATTCAGGTGACAGAAGACATGTGTAGATGGGATCTAGGCCTGCTGTAAAGTGGTTCTAGAAAGTCCTCGGTTCCCACACTATAACGTAAATGACTGAATAATTAACACAGAGACTACAACTTTCTATACAGCTCTCCCTCCTCAGATACTACAAACATTATACCCAGTTGTTTGATACTGTTAATTTCCAACAGCAAAGTTATATCCAC